CAGGTGCAGGGTCTGCTGGCTGGGTGCTGGCAGGCTTGCACCTGGCACGGGCACCGTAGCCAGCCCGTGCCCCTTTAAGGGGTCCGGGGCCGGAAGGGGGGCATACGAGTTTCCCTGGTGTTGGCCAGAGTGGCCGCCAGGGAAAGCTGGGGAGGGCTAGCCTCCCACTAGTTCGAATTAAGGGGCTACACTTAGCTAGTTCGAACTAGGCTTAAGTTCGAACTAACGGAGCGCTAGTGTAGCGCCTATGAAAGTTAGTTCGAACTAACTTTGTAGTGTAGACATACCCTTAGAGACTGAGGCCTAGTTTATGACTTAGTCTACCATAAGCTGGAGGCCAACACTTGCAGACTTGAATGCCTGCAATACCATGAGTGGGCCTGAGAGGGACACTGCTGAGCAGCTCTACCTCCCATAGGTTCACAGTTCAACGTGTGACTATTATCAAATTTCTGTTCTCCATATAAATATGTATAGACCAGTGGTTCTCAAATCCGTGGACCACCTGACTCAATGCAAATCTTTCCAAGGACCACCAGTTGGTAATGGAAACTCACCGTTAATTACATAATGATGCCCAAGCCATTTTGCTAGTGCTGCAGCTAGGGAGACCATTTTTAACCTGGGCAAAACAATGCATTTGTCCCTAGCCTCATTCTCAGAAACTGATTTACTGTTTTGGCTAAATTTTCATAAAACAATTTAGCCTGAGGCTGACACCCGCCTTATAACATTTCTGCTATATTGGTTAGAGTTTGGGGGAGAGGGGTTATGAGCAACCAAAAACAGGATCTTCTAATGGGAAATTATTGGCAATCTTAATAGGTGGCACTACCAGCACTATCTATAATCAACACACAGTACACTTACACTAGAGAACCTGCCAGCTTCAGGCAGCTTTGTACTCAGTATGGTTAAGCGATGCCACCACTGCTACTGCCCGTGCTATCATGGCCATGATACTATTTGTACTTGCACTAGCTCTCATCAAGCTAGCATATGTGTATGTGAGCTGGGAATCACACCTCTAGCTTTTATGTAGACATAGCCATAGTGTAAGTAGCTGCAATTTGGGGACATTACAGTCTTTGTAGTCAATCAGTCAAACTAACACCCATCATGATCACTTTTCCAAATAAAACGTATGGTTTAAGAGAAGCACAACAACCATTTTCTGAAGCACACAGTTATATTGTGGAGTATATATTCTTCAGCATGCGTATTTCAGGTATATAAGCGGGCGAATATGATTAGGTGAATAACCCAGCGTAATTTGCCTAGAGTATAATGTGTAAATTATTCAAATGGCTGAGATAACTCTTAGTTTAGAATATAAGATGGGCTGCTCCTTAGAGCTGAGTTATGCTTACAATTCACCAAAAGAAAAGAAGCTTTTTGTGTCAGTGAGGCAATTAAACTATTCTGTTACCACTCATTGGTTTAATGTGATTTTTTTCAGGCAATTTCTGCACTAGAAGAAATGGACCCTTCTAAAACAGTAACAGAATTATTGAATTTATTAAATACTTACAAGAGTATATGGTCTCTTTCCCACAGATCTATCTCTGACTCATGTGCTCTGCTAAATATTCAGCACTGGCAATGTTTGGACTACAGAAATGGAATTTAGCCAAATGAAGAAATTAAATATAGTATCTCCAAAAAGAATCACGGATATTCCTTAATTTTGAACCAAGAAGGTAACAAAAGAAATTTGCACTCTTTAGAGTTCAATATACTTTGTGATGAGCTAGAAAATTTCACTTTTTGATGTACATTTTTCTTCTTTACGCATATTTCTTACCTTGGTAAAGATGAAACACAATAGAAGATAAGCTTTCCATATATGGTCACCATGGCAGTGCCTTGAAGATCACAAGAGTGGTGGAATGGAGCCTTGCTTCATATCTAGGTAAAAAGGTTATTTGTAAACTGCAGCTATAAATATGTGGAATTGGATATAATTTAATGTATCCTGTCTGTTATAGGTAGTCACAGAGGGTTCATAGGGCATGTCTATACTAATTTTGAAATAACAAGGCAAGTGCCCACACTACCAAGCGTATTATTTTGAAATAACAACTCCTGCTTGTGAAGAAAAATACGCTTATTTTAAAATAGTTATTTTGGGAGTTATTATTTCAAAATAACTTATTTTGAAATAACCTGGTAGGGTAGATATAGCCATAGAGTAAAACAACCGTTTCACCCAGCTGATATAGCGTATTTAGAGAAAAACAGGAGGTTAGGAAAATCAGAATGTAAGAGTAGCCACTCACCAAGGTATATATAGATTTCAATGTTCAACATTAATAGGAATTTATAAAAACTTTCTTAGACACAAGAACCAATAGGCCCTCTGGCCTAGAGGCTAGTATCCTAGACTTGAAGTCAGAAAAGCTGGCTCCTAGTTCTAGCTATTACTGGCCTGCTTGTTACTTTGAGCAAGTCACTTTGGGTACATCTAAACTGCACACTAATTTCGAAATAAGCTATTGCAGAATAGTTATTCTGCAATAGCTTATTTCAAAATAGCATGTCTACATTGCAGGGAAGCCTCAAAATTAGACAGAGGCAGGCTTTCCTAATGTAGACACTATCTAGATTTAGAACTCCAGGAGGCACTGGGGAGGAATAACTTAGAATGACCCTGGTGAGGGGCTATTTTGAAATAGCAACAGTAGAGAGTCTACACACACCTTAGTTTGAAATAGCTATTTTTGGAATAGGTATTATTCCTCGTAGAATGAGCTTTACAGATTTATGATTTAGCCATCTGTTATTTCAAAATTATTTTGAAATAACAAAAAAGGCTGTTTAGACGTTCTCATTGTTATTTCAAAATAATGCTAGTTATCTTGAAATAATGGTGCAGTGAAAACACACCCTTCATGTTGGTGTAACTCATTTTCCTCATCTCTCCAAAGGGGATAGTGATATTGACTGTCCTTTGTTAAGCACTTTGGGATCTACTTAGGAAAAATGCTTTATAAGATCTGTGATGATTAACTAAGGGGCAACATTTTCAAATGTGTTCAGTGTTGGTCTAGCTTTCCCATTAATTGTAGATTCATAGGGTTGGAAGAGACCTCAGGAGGTAATTGAGTCCAAAGCCCTGCCCAAAGCAGTATCAACCACAATAAATCATCCCTGGCAGGGCTTTGTCACACCGGGACTTAAAAACCTCTACGTAACCCTCTATGTGCTCCCTTTGACTTCCTGCAGTGTGGACAGTGCCAAAAGCCAATTTAAACTATTTCAACTTCAGCTAAGTAACAAAGACGTAACAGCCAGAAGTTATCTGAGCAACTACAGCAATCACTGGCTGGCTGCTAATACTGAGTCCTCCTATTTACCTGAGTCCTGGTTTTGTACTGGTTCCTGCTTCCCCTCCTAGTTCTTGTTCTCCTATCTCAGACTCCTGGCTACTCCCTGTTCCTGCTGCCCTGCCCTACTCTAGGTTTCTCCTTCTTCATCTTACTCTTGACTCTGTCTCCAGCTCTGAACTTTGGCGTGGCACCTGACTTTGCCTCTGGCTCTCATTACCAGGCTGACTGCCCATATCCTATTAATTGTAGTTTGCTCACACCACTATTAACCTCTGAGTGGGCTCAGCTAAGGCTGGACCCAGCACAGCTCCTTGTACCAGAAGTGACATTTATATTGCACAAGCAAGTGAATTGCCTCCAAGCAGACAACTAAGCTCTCCAGGGGCAGAACACACAGCTGGTCCCTTCAGAATCAGGCATTGTGGGATCGAGTCCATCAACTTCACACAGAAAATGCTACACTGGGTGTTTTTCTGGCTGTGCTCTTCTCTAGCAAAGACCCCCTGGCCCTCTCCCTGAGTCCTTCAAAGAGAGCTGTTCCATATTGCAAGGTTTCATTAAACTATGCTGCCTTTTGTTCTTACTTCGATGACAGGTGTGAGTTTCCAACCACATCAGGGTAGGCTTTGTAGTCAGCCTGCTGGCAGGGGAATTATTAGAGGGTGCCTCTTCCCTAGATGAAGCCAACACTCCATTTCTGTCTAACTGGGATGGCTTCGACAGAGTGATACTGAACATCTTCAAGGGCCTAATCACACCTTCACCAGTGAGTTTCACCCTACAGAAACTCCAGCTCAGGTCTGGCTACTGCTTGTGTGGCTCACTTCCACCATTTCATATCAGACACAGAATGCAATGAGAGGACCCATTGGCCAATCCTCTCAGGGAACTGAGGAACTCTAGGGGGATCAAGTTGTCTGGTTCCATGGTCTCCCAGAGCACGTTGTCTCTGACTGAGGAGCGCAATTTGTATCCCACTTCTTGTGAGAAGCTCTCTTGATTTGGGGCATCTGGTTTTGTCTGTTCTCTACCTATCACCTTCAGACTAACAGTCAAGTGGAGAGAACCAGTCACAGCCTGGAACAGTATCTTTGATCTTACATCAAATTCCACCAGAATGACTGGTCTTTGCTCCTGTCCCAGATAAAGTTTGTGTTCAGTAACTTAGAACATGCAGCTATGGAACAAAGCCCTTTTTCATGAATTATGGGATTTTGACGGGGTGTACAAACTCCACTCTGGACCACATGGGTTGAGGAATTTCTCTGAGTCCCCATCCCAACTGTGCAAACTGGAGGATGATCTTTGGACAGGAGAGCAGCTCATTTGGTAGCAGACCAGGAAAGAGAGCAGTCCAGTGACCTGCAGCAGAGAAGAGCAGAGGGAAGGCAGAAATGTCTCCCTGAGACAATTGTCCGAAGACTCCTCCCTGAAGGAAGAGAGAAGCTGCCACAGAGACAGCCTGAGAGAGAAGCATCTTCATCTACCTCTTGTATGGACTCTGGATTTTAATAATCTCTTTTATTATTTTGTTTGAATTACCCCAGTATGGAAAAACCCTGGAACTAAGCTGGCCCAGGAGGGCGAACCATACCCCAGGAAGACGCAGTTGCTATCTGAGAGAGATACCTTGCTGCACAGCACAACCATAAGGTACTCTGTTGTGAGTGGGCACCATTCACAGCACCTTCATCTTTGGGACTATTGGGGGATGGGGCAGAGATAGAAAGTGGTCCGGACAGGGCAGCCTTAACCAGCTTCTTCTGTCAGATCCTGGATAGATCTCAAAAAGCTCTGGGTCAGAGCCTGATAGAGTGGGAGTCCTGGGATCCCTTTCCAACACTCCACCTGCAAATTACGGGCCATAGTCCTGACCATTAAATCAACCCCTGGGAGATCCACCTCCACAGTGTCAATCGCCCAGTAAGTGGAGACAAGGCCTTACAACACCAGACACCAGACTTCTGCACATCAGGTGTGTAGTGTTTCCCTAGCTCTGCTCTACCTGGAAGCTTAGCTCCCTTGGAGACTGCCTGAGTTTGAATTTTTAGCAACAGGAATGGAGCCCATGGTATTTCATATAGTAATTTAATACAAAAGTGCTACATTCAATTTAACTTCTAAAACAAGGCTACAAACTTCTCTTAGATCTCTCCCCTTTCTCCCTCCTGTCAAGGTGAGGGCTTTTAAGTGTGAAGTCTAATGGACATTCCTATAGTTATGGTAGGTTGAATCTCTTTTCTCTTGCAAAAAAATCAGTGTATTTTTCATTTTAATTTGTCTTTCTCATGATATTATTGCTGTTTTCATTTCCTTTTATCCACATTCCCATCTTTCTCACTTTTTTTCTCTACTCTCTTTCACCCTCATTGTAAAAGTGTGTTTATCTGGGAAGAGAGGAGTGAAGGTGGAAGAAAAACAACTGAGATAAGATGTTATTTTATCTTCCTTCCTTACTTTTTTTTTAAATCACACTTCTCTAATGGAAAAGGGGAAGGGATAGATGAACAAAAACCAAAACAGCCCACAACTTTTTGAAACAAAATGAATTTTTTCATGTCATTTTGCAAGTACTCATTTAATAAAAAATGTCTGTTCTTTCCTGTGCCCCACAACATGCTTCAGGCTTTTTCTGACCTGTTCTGTTCCCCTCTGCCTGGCATAGCAAAGAAAAGCATGCCCCAAAGTACCTCTGGCTAGAATGCATGCATGCAAATATATTTTTGGTTGTGAGAGTGAGACATCTAAGGGGATTGTTTGGCTCTTATGTATAACCATCTAGCTGTATCATGTGTAAGTGATGGACACCCATTAAAACATCCCAATTGAAATAAAGCGTGTATTTTACCAATAAGCGATTGAAGTTGCCTCTACTATAATAGCTTGGATTTATGATGGGGAAAGGTACTGCTGGAATAGCTAATTTAAAATATATCAGGGAAAATATTCAAAATTAAGGCCCTGATGCTGCAAATCCTTAATCCTAAAGGACTTCTCACCGTATTAAAGAACACACTTCGGTGTTTGCAGAATATGGGCCTAAATGGGAACCAGTATGAAAATTCTTCACCAAGAAAGATTTACCCATCTTATTCACATGTACACTCTCCCTTACATCTTTCTTTCTCATTTGTTATGGTGCAGAATCTGGTTTGTAAAGTATTTTTTAATCATATGCACCAGCAATAAAAAGGTCTATTATTACAGAAATCTGCCCAAGGGCACCTTTATCTAGCAACCAAAATGTTCAGAAATATATTTTAAAATATAAATAAATAATATCTTTACCTAGGGGATCAAATACTTTGACCATATAAAAGGCACTCAGATACCACGGCACTGGATACAGTAGAAGATGATAGATAGGAAAAATATATAGCTACAGATATGTGATATGTTAAGACAAAAACTGCTTAAATATGCATGTGCAAAGGATCTTGAAAGGGGTCCAAAGAAGGCAGTCCAGTCTTGCTGATACATCATATACAGTACATTTTACAGCCTCCTGTAAAAGAAATTTTAATAATCCCAAGGAAAGGAAATAAAAGTTCCTGTTAAGTTTGTGACACAAAGTAAGC